GATTTCTAAAAGGTTTTGTACGAAACCATTGCTACGAAACCCTTTTTTTGAATTTTCGTGAAGGGGGTTGATACGAAACCTCACTTTTACAAAACCAAAAAAGGATCTGACGGTGTACCGAGGATAAGAGCCTTTTTTAGGTTCTGTGAAAAACCCATTTTTTTTAGAGTGTAGAGTCCTTCTTAGTTGGTTTGAAACAGTATGCTCCACAATATCACATTCTTTCAGTAGAGGGTCAGCGACGTTTACGCCGCGTTACTTGTATTTAATCGATATGAATGGAATTATCTTTCATTTGGTAAATTTTGTTTTTTAATTATTACTTATAATTTCATTTTGTTCTATTTCTTTGCGTTGTTTTAGGTCCATCTTGTATACGAATAAATCAAAGTGCTATTCGTCCTCGGCATCAACAAGAAATCGCAATTCAAAAGGATCATAAAAGTGTTTATGATAAAGTTGGCCATCATCTAAATGAGCATTATTTTATTCCAATGACAGCAACCATTCTTAAACAATATTCAAATCAACTACTTCATGATTTAAATCGTTCTTATTTTTCACCATTATCTTATCATGATCAAATATTAGCATTAAAACAAGCAAAAAAAGTAGTTTCGATTCAACGTAAAATTAAAAAACATCATTTAATTCTTCGTGTCACTGATAAAGGTTATAATTTTTATATTGGTACAGAAAAAGAATTTGATAAGAAAGTTCAAAATTTTTTTCAAGATACTAATGCTTTTATTGAATTAAAAGAAAATCCATTTAATAAGATTCAAGATAATGTTATTCATTTACTCAATCAAATTCGTGCAAAAAAATTTATTTTGCAATGGCAATGTAATAAAATGATACCTAATCGAATAAAATGTCAATTAGCTCATTTATATTTTAATCCTAAAACTTATAAGGTATGCTAGAAATTTTTTAAGATTATTATTTGATTTAAATCTGATTTTGTATATACGTATATATATATATATCTGAAATATAGGATGGTATACCAGTTCGACCAATTGAAAATACTATTCATGCTCCAACAACAAATATATCAAATTATTTAGATGAAATTATCCGACCAATATTTGATAAGGAATGTCAAAATACAACCATTATTGATGGCTCTTCATTAATTCAAGCACTCCATCAATATATGAGAAAAGGTCTTTTTAAATCAACGACATTATTTTGTACTTTTGATATTCGTAATTTATATACTATGTTACCACAAGAAGGAGCCTTAAATATTCTTGTTGAATTTCTTAATGTTCATGGTTATACAAAAGTCAAAGGAATTCCTCTAGAAACAATACGATTATTAGCTTCAATTGTATTGAAAGAGAATGTGTTTGTCTACGGTAAAAAGATGTATCAACAAGTCCTTGGTGGCGCAATGGGTTCATCATTTACATTGGCATTAGCAAACATATTCATGTGGAAATGGCAAAAAGAACTTGTCCGTCGACAGGATATGATAGGTGAATATTATGGACGGTAAGTAGAATTAAACTTATAGTAATAAATAATTTTATTTTGAATACTTTTTAATAGATATATTGATGATGTTTTTATGACATGGAATAAATCGGAAAATGAATTGAAGAAAATAATAGAAAATGCAAATACTTGGCATCCAAATATTAAATTAGAATATAAAATCAGTAAAAGTCTTCCATTTCTTGATGTTCTCCTTACAAATATCAATGGCACTCTATCAGCATCCGTCTATCATAAACCAGCAGCAGAACCCTATGTTGTACCATTTATTTCGGATCATCCTCGACATGTATTCGAAAACATTGTACAAACAAGTCGTCGACGTGCAGTCAAATATTCATCAACTTTTCAATTATTCAATGATGAGAGAAGATATATCAAATCAACATTTTTGTACAATGGGTGAGATTATTTTTGATATATTTAATATTCTCATAGATTTATTCTATAGTTATCCTTCTTCATTTATCGACAAGACATTCGAAAATTCTTCTCTGACTACATATCATCACGATCATTTCTCCCATTTCTTCACAATGAAGCTCAATTCATACAAATGCGTATTGCATTATCTGGACAACCAAGTCGACAACAATCTGAAGTCGAAATGAGAATTGCAACACTTACGACCGATAACGAACATTTAATTGAAGAATCGGATAAAAAAAGCAAGAAGTCACCATTCAAGAGAATAAGAAACCAAACGAATTTCAAAATAAACTTATAATTCATTATACACATGAGAAACGATTCATTACACGTAAGCGCGACCTGCACCGTATCTTTCAAGAAACATTCGCAAACACTCCAATAATCGAAACAAAACTGATCGTTGGAAACAGAAATCAGAAAAGCACAATGAAAGAATTGATCCGAAAATGTCCAAGACAGGCAATATTAAAAAACAAAGCTAAACCAAGTATGATCAGCGATAAAAAAAAGTAGTTTTTAAAATATTATATAGTATACACTGATTTATTAAATCTAGATGGAAACCACAAAAAGAACAGGCATCCACAACTAAACCAAAAAATCAACCAAAAAAATAACCAAATATGAAACAAGCATCATCATCATCTACATCTATAAAGACTGCCCATTGAACGAACTATTCATGTCATTATTTCCTTTAACCTGATTTCGAATACTCAATAAAACGGAAGTGAGAATTGAAAATATTCTACTGAAAAGTAATTCAGATTTTTTTTGATCCCGAAACAGCCTATAAAATTCCACAAAAATATTTTTCATAACATTCACATTTCACCCGGAAAACAAGAAAAAAAATTCTACAACATAAAGAAATTTGACTCTTTCTGAAAGAACGTTAATAACATTCAATTGAATTTTCCTTTGAATTTTTCTTTGAAATTTTTTATACTTGAATAGATTAAGCCATCTGAAGAGTCCTTTAGCAGGGACGAAACGCGTCATGGCAGCTTCTTCACACCCACACCCACACCCTACCTCATTCTATGACGTCATATGCATCCTCTGGTTCCAATCCATGTCTGCTCTGAAAAAAATAAAGGAGGTTTACAGAACCCTCCGAAAAGGTTCTGTAGATTTTCAAAATGCTCCAAATGTGTTCAAAGCAAGGGGGAAAAAGCGTATTTCTGTATTTCCGTATTTCTAAGTATTTCGAAATACTTCTAATGTATTTCTATGTATTTCTATGTATTTCTATGTATTTCTATGTATTTCTATGTATTTCTATGTATTTCTATGTATTTCTAATGTATTTCTGTATTTCTAAGATACATAGAAATACATAGAAATACATAGAAATACATAGAAATACTGACATTTTTAGTTAGGTTCGATCGTAAGATTGTCGGTTTCTGCGATTTTGTTTTCATTTTTGAACATCTTAATGTGAGAAAAATTGTCTTAAAAAGCAACAAAACTTGGTTTATAAATGCATGCTTATTTAGACTTTCGTCAACTTGAAATGTAGTTGGCAGAGCTTCTGCTTTCAGTTCACGTTACTTTTTATCATGAATAAATATAAAACCACATAAACAATACAAGAAAACAAGAAAAATTATAGTAGATTAAATGAATCGCTAAACAAATATGAACAGCAATAGCACACATGATACAAAATGTTAAATTAAAAATGGACGACCTTTGCTTGACTGATCTAAAAAAATATGAAAAAGACCAAAAGATTAACTTGTTTTTAGAACGATATCAGTTACTTAAAGTTAATTTTTCAGCCTTGCCTGATTTCTCTAAAAATATCTTGCACATTCAATCGGTGCTTTTAGCTAAACCGTGGCTATTGGTATGAGCTGTCAATTTATTTTTAACGTCTCCTAATTTGGTTGGAAACACAGTTAGAGAAGATAAATGAACATTTTATAAATATGCAATAGAGAATTCAAGAAAAAATGCGAACAGAAAATTTATGCATCATATAAAAAACTACAGCTTAGAGAAAGGAACCCGATCAAATACTCAAAACTTCTATGAAAATCGCTCAAGCCGTATACATGACAAGTATGAGGGGTATAACCTACTTGAAACTGCTTTGTAATGCATTCATTTTTTTCGTCGTTTTGTTCGGATTGATGCTGTTGTATTTTTCCTTTTCTTTGCTACGCGAACAACTTTCGTCGCTTCTCTTGTACTTGTTTCATTACTACTCATAGATAATATTGATGGTGGATCTAAGAGTGTACTTTGTAAAATTGTTGAATGATTAGCTAACGTTGTTGATGCTATATTTGATGTTGTTACTGGTTGCTCGTTACTATTACTATTATTACTATTATTATCATTATTATCATTATTATCATTGTTATCATTGTTATCATTATTATCATTATTATCATTGTTATCATTGTTATCATTATGATCATTATTATCATTATTATCATTATTATCATTGTTATCATTATTATTATTATTATTATCATTGTTATTAACATTATTATCATTACGATTATTTCTATTATGTTGATATATTTTTTTAATATTTTTCATCATTGAACAACTCAGTGTTTGTAAATGTTTATAAAAATTCGATAATACAAACCTTCCGTCTTTTGTAGCTAATTTCGTTATAACACCACATTTACACTTTATCAATCCTGCTAAATTAGCACTACAATTTGTTACTGTTAGCGTAAAGTGTTCATTTTCCTTCAAAACAAAACCTTCTGGTAATACGTTTTCTTTGTTATTATCCCACCATTCGAAAAATTTTTCTAAAACGTATTTTGTATGATCATCTATCGACATTGGAATTGGTTGCTTCATAGCTACTGCTGGTGCTGTTGGAGCTGTAGTTGTTGAAGATGATGACGTTGTCAGTGTTGGTGGCGGTGGTGGTGGTGTAACTTTCTTTTTCAATCGTGTTATGTGTTCATTATTTTTGGTCAACAACAATTCTTTCAGGTATTTAATACTACTTTCAACGCCGGGCTTGATAATATATGATTTATCTTGTAATTGAAAACATATTTCCCTTTTAATGTCTTCCAGCTGATCACAATCAAAATTTATAACAGAAAAAATATCTTTAGTATCAGTCAATAAAAATGATTGTACACTTCTTATACATAAAATTTCCAATAAATTAACGGATGAATTACCGCACAAATTACGTACAAGATGAAAAAATTGTTCATCGGTATATGTTAGAGCATCAGTTGGTAATACAGATGTATCAACGATCATGTCGGGTATAATTATTTTTTATAGGAGTTTCGCCTCCTGTTTTTTTCAAATGAACATAGTTGAAATGTACCAACGAACTCGCAATGATACTCTATTAATGGTCAAGAAAATAACCTGTGTTGAATTGACTTGCAATAAACGATCTGACTATACAACACTGACATCTTGCGATCGATAAAAGTCTACAAGAGCGAGGTTAAAATGATGTCAGTCTGTTTCGTGTTGCATGTCGTATCAAAACTCTTTTCCTATGATTGATTTACTCTCTTAATCGAGTTTGTTGATTGACTTGTTAATAGAAACAGTTTGAAACCAAATGTGGATTGTTTTCAATTATCTTTTTTGACAGGAGCTGCGCGCCATTATGTTGTATGTTTAAATAACCAAATCTAAGTCGGTTCTTTCAAAAGATAAATGAGAATGGCAAAATTATAATAAAATGTTTGAAATTAATTTCGATTTTATCTTTCTCGCTTTGTTGATGAAACTATGTGTATTTTCAAGAATACTTAGACATGATTTCTTTGTTTTATACGATGCTTCAGATTAAATTTTATTGTTTTCTTTGATTATGAATGAAAATAACCGATTATACGACCTATCAGTATTACCTGATGATGTTTTCACATATTGTGGTGATAAATTTTTTCAATTGGTTCTTACTTTAGTTGGAAGTGATATTGTTGAAATACTCAAAATACAATCAATCAACTCCACACAATCGTTTATCAACACCAAAAATGCATTGAGTATTTTTCAATTAAATATTCCCGAATTATCATTGATTAAAGAGAGATCATGTTTTAAATTATCAAACGGCGATTTCGTCACTAAAATTGGTATAGAAAATGGTTTAAAATATCTTACTTCTATAATTAAATTAAAACAAAATGAACAACAAGCAAGAATGGTTGGCAATACTAATATTGAGAATAGATTATATGATTTAATAAATCGTAATCCATTACTGAAATCATTATTTTCTTGGTATGATCAACAACAACAAGAAGAAGATAATGGTATTGATCAAAGAACATTCCTATCTTCATTGATCGATAATATAACAAATAATTTATCAAAATCAAAAAATCAATATCGTTATAATGATTGTGTAAAACGGTTTGCTGTTTGTTTCTGGGTAATTCATAAAAGATGACCCAACAAAGATAGGGCCGATTAACATTTGTTGGACATCTGAACGATTATTATAGACGTTTTCTTTTCGTTCGTCTAACCTTCAGTGTAATTTTAAAGCTTCAATTGAAATTGATTATGATTCTAAAACAATGAAAGATTATTATACAAGAATGTCTAATTGTTTTAAATAGCAACAGTGTGATAACTATTATTTTTTTCGGGTGTTGTTAGCGTTGAGCTTCACTTTTGTTTCCTTGAATACTTTTCTTTTGTTGTTCGTGAAAATATATCGTCTTTAGAAAACAAAACTATAATTCGTTATTCATTTGTTTTTGTATGAGTTATGTGTTTCATCTTTTTTTTCCTTAATATCCATGCATTCGTTTCTATTTCTAATAATATATTTGTTCAATGTATTGTTATTGAATCAAATTCAAGCAGAATATTTCAAAAAAGTGTAGGTTGTTCCTATCAATGTTTTTTGTACATTAAATGTCAATGAAGGAGACGGAGTCGAGAAACTTGAAAAATCTGAACGGATAATCGAACGGAGCTTATCAAAGGCGATTTTTTTTGTACATCCATTATGGACGATACCTTATATATATTAGGGGGTAAATTGACATACGAGTTCATTCGGTTAAACATTGTTGGAGCCTTGCCCAGTTTAACAACGTTGTATGGTATAATATCGGACACAAATCTTAAAATAATTGAAGGTCAATTTCGATTTGATGAACTGAAGCATCACTCAGATTTACTTAATACCAAATTCGGTTTTGTTTCCGAAGACTGCACCGGAGTAGTACAAAAAATTACATACAACGAACGTACAAACTCATTCGTTGGATTCTCCGCTCCTTTAACAAATGGAATACCATATGTTAATCACTTTCAAACGGATTCATTTGAACAATTAAAAACCTGGTTCTCTACTGTTAATAAAGCATCACTCTTGAACGTTCACATGTTCCAACCAATTCCATCAAATCATCTTAAATCCTCATCTCCTTTTGTATTAGCAGCATATGGTGTAAATAACCAATGTACATCAATAGATATCTTAAAGCGTTGGAGTTATATATATGATGAATGTTGTAAAAAGCAAATAAGAGTCATTGGTTTCTCAACAGGTATTATCATGTATGATTATTACCGTTTCTCTCACTATACCATTTGAGACTTCAACGATAGACGAACTTATAATAATACTAACTTTACTGCTATTAGAAATCTATCAAAACACTGTAAACTGTCATCATGTCTTTGAAAGCCTCCGTAATCTGAAGTTTTTTTAACTCTTGCTTTTTGAAGTTTGCTATATCCACATAAACTTTTCCTTATCATTTCGTTACTGTTTTTGATGGAGTTCAACAATATTTAATAATTTAATTTTCTCGTTTTGAAATAGATGCGGATGCGAAATATCTAAGCGCTATGCGGCTTACTAGCGGCTTCTTCGCTAATCTTACAAATATTAAATTACATGAAAATGACGATGCATTTAAAATCAATATACCACCGCATTGGACTTGGTTTTTCCTTCGTTCGCAACAATTGTTCCTATTTTTTCAAGATGCTACGCATGTTGCTACTAAGTGGAGAAACCGTTTGCTAGCTTCCACAGCTCATCTTGTTCTTGGTCAACAACCAATTACAATGCAACATCTTCAAAATATAATAGACAATGGATATAACAAACTTGATCATGGTTTAGTGTATACAGACCTTAATCCGAAAGATAAACAGAATTATACCTCGTGTGAAAAAATAGCATCAGAGGATGTTTTAAATATTTTAAAACATAATCGTGACACTCAAGCTACTTACGTTTATCTTCGATTATTGAAACATATAATTATTGCATATGTTGAGAGATCTACCAATATAAAAGATCGTCTTCATTCAGCTTGGACTGTCGTATTTACTTGTCGTCTATGGAAGTTATGGATAAAGCACAATATTTTTACAAGATCGAATTCTACAAAAAAAGATGAAACCAAGAAGAGTAAAGATAAATATTTTTTAACAATTCCCGTATATTATTCGATTGAAATCAATGCACACAATTTGTTGTACCTAACATTGCTAGTAAAGCAGCGACAACTGCCTCCAAATGCGTTGAATATAGTCTTATTTAGTTCACAACCATGTGAATCCATGTTCAGAAATTCAAGAGCATTGAGTGGTGCTTTTTCGACAAGGGTGAATTTCACTGTTAATGATTTTCTTCAAAGGGCTGAAAAATTGTCAGTGTTAGAACAAATCAAGTGTTACGAAGAAACAAACAATGATAGTCGCTTGTTATTTCCAATACATCATAAGCATAAGAAAAATAATGATTCGACAACATATCAAAGTATCAGTGATATTGATAAATTAAACATTGAAAATGTGGTGTTATCAGCTTATAAAACAGCAGAAGAACTTGTTGAAAATCTGAACATATTTCATTTATTAAAGCAACATAACATTTACCAACTGAATGATGTGAGTAAGCATGTATATGATGATCTAAGATCTACATGTAGAATAAACGATCATTCAATGTTTGATTCAAATGACGAAGTCGAATTCAATTCCGAAGATCATTTATTATTCCATAATGATAGCATCGAAGACACAGATGTTAATATTGTTGACGATGATAGTGATAATGGATTGTTCACCACGAAAACAACATTTTCTGGTATACGTCTGTTTGGCTCAGTTAGTGATGATTCAATGAACTCTTACTTTAAAATTAATTTAAATAATGACGTTAAATATATTCACAAACAGACTGCGTCTTGGCTTCTCACAGAAAAAAACAATCATTTGTCTGTTGATCGTTTAAATCGAGTGATGGAAATGAATAGGCAAACATAGGAACGTTGAAAAGTGTTTTGATATTGTCTTTATTTCATTGTTGTGCAGTACATTGGATGCATAAATAAATTGTTCTCGTCGGTATATTGAATTAAGAGCATTGTTTTCATGACGTGAGTCGCAAAATAATCAATGATGAATAAAACTATATATTTCACACAATAGAGCCATACATTAGTGAAATTTTCGCATTTCTATACATTTCTAGATGTCCACTTATTTCCTGGTATTTCTTTGTATTTCTAAGTATTTCTACGTATTTCTACGTATTTCTACGTATTTCTACGTATTTCTATGTATTTCTATGTATTTCTGTGTATTTCTACGTATTTCTACGTATTTCTGTGTATTTCTATGTATTTCCGTATTTCTAAGTATTTCGAAATACTTCTAATGTATTTCTATGTATTTCTGTGTATTTCTATGTATTTCAGAAATACAGAAATACGTGGAAATACGCTTTTTCCCCCTTGCAAAAAACACACATTAGTGGTTGTTTGCACCTAGTTGAAAATAAAGATCATTTTTCTACAATTAAAAGAATTTGAATCGAACAAAATCGTCAGCAATTATTGATCACGATTCTTTTGTATTTATGGAAAAACATCTTTGAGATGAAAAATGTTCGTTCAAAATATAAATAACGCAGTATAAAGAAAAGCAGAAAAATCTTCAAAAAGCAGAAACGACAGAAAAGAAGCAGAAAAACCTTCAAAAAGCAGAAGAGGTGCCAGCCCTGGACATAATCCATGATTGTCTAACTTGTTATCCAGTCGATCAGATTCGCGCTCAAGTTGCATAGTATGAAATGTACTCTTAAATTAAACGATGTTCTTCTGAATAGGCGCTTCCTATTTTGATGAAGAAATCGGAATAATAGATTTCTGTACCGCTTATTTATTTGAAATTGAATGATATTTTTAAAATATTATTAAAGTAGATCACTTAAACTTTATAGTTCATATTACAGATATATCGATATTTAAAAGTATATTATATATTTAATAAATTATTTAATTGATAGGAATTCCTTGAAATAAATTTTAAATAATTTTTAGAATTTTTCTGAGTTTTTTTCTTTAGGGACTGAAAAATAACGCTTAGAAATGTCTAAATTTTAAAAGAAAAATATTGTGAAAGATTTAGTATTCTGATTTCTTTTAGAACACTTCAATTTTCGAAACCCTTTCCATAAAAATTATAACCATAAACCCATAACCGTAGAATAAGAAACCCTTTTTATGAAGGGTATATTGATGAACCTTTCTTTTTCTCCGCATAAACCCTTTTTTCATTTAAAATATTCTTTTTATCAAATACCCTTTTTCTCAAAAACCCTTAAAGGGTTTATGAAAAATTTCCGAAAGTACTAGGGTTTCTTATTCTACGAATTGCTTTTACAGTGTATTGAGTACAGTCTTGATTTTTACTTTATGTTATTCTTATACTGAATCTTGTGTGTTGGAACAACTGTCATATATTCTATTGTGATCTGTTATGTTTTTCACTATGTATAAAATATATGATTCCACACATATTTTTTAGATATATCATCTATGAGATTTTATTTTAGCGCAGCTGCACACCTATAAGACTTGAATTTAGACATATCTATGTAACATTCTAATGAAGGACGAATAATGCAAGATTTATTATAAGAAATAAGTAGTAGGAGCCATGAGTAACAGAGGAGGTTCTACTTTTAGTCACGGTAATTTTGGAACAAATAATTTTCAATAATACTAACTTTAGATGTTGTTTTTTAGGAATAATGAGGACTGTCTGGATCTGCAAGTGTTCATGCTGATGCTGGATTATTTAAGTATGACAGTAGAATGTTAGTGGGATTGTCACAGATGCTCTTTGTTTACTTCAGTAATTAACTATTAAATCGAATAATTTCTGCCCTTCAACATCATAAATTTTGTGCAGTTTGCAAGTAGTGAATCTTCGTACCCTCTTGTTTTTTTCCTTGTTTTTCTCTTTTAAAAATTTATGCAATCCTGTTTGCATAATAATAAAATGAAACCAAACTATGGTCTTCTTTTTAACTATTAGCATTTTTTTTTATTGTGACCTAAAGAGAGTAGAATTACCCGTATATTCAACACAGTGAAATATACGACGAAAACCAAGAAAAAACGAATTAATTATTGACAAGATAAAAAATTTTACCATAGGGAATAATCAATTTATTATGTATCAGTCACCGTCAAAGACAAACTTGTAAGAATGCTCATAACGTTATACAAGCAGTTTTCATATGCAAAAAATTATTTGGCTGCCACTATCGATAATGTAGGTTCATTGAATGAATACTCTTAATCAGGAGATAAAATCTATGAAATCAGTAAGAAAAAATGTTCTAAAGGAAGAATTTAATTTGTTCCAGAGAAAAAATGTATATATATATATATGAGAGTTATGCATATTATTTGATGGAGAATCTCACGTGAAAATTTTATGACTATTATTATTTTTATTTCGATCAAATGAATCAAAAAGACCATTATGATTTTTTGACTAAAGCATTAGATGATTGGTTACTTAAGAATAAAGTTAAATAAAATCTTGCAAACGACAAGTTTATTGAAGGTACTGTTAGGCGCTGAACTAACAGCGAGATGATATGACCACAGAACGGAGAAAAAGATAATCCTTTTGTGGGATTCGAACCACACATCCTCTGCTATCTGGGCAGATGTACTACCGTTATACTAGAAAAGACAACTTAATCTCCGTTTAGAATTGCAGGGGACCACTACAATTCTAATAGGTACTGACTACAAGTTAAGTTTATTGTTAAATCAAGGATCTGAAGAGGCTGTTATATTATGTTCTTGTGGAGTTCGAACAAATTCATCAAAAGAAAGAATTAATTTTTCCTTGAGCAATTACTACAAGCATATAAAAACATCGAAATGTGTGATGATGAAAAAAAAAGAAAGCCAATGTCAACCAATGCAAGTACTGAACATAGTCAATCAGCTCAACAACAAATATTAGCAAATAATACAATTGATATTTCTACGATATCTTCACCAAGTATTGACCATAACAATAGTAATACTCGTTTGATATCTAGAAAACGTGCAAAATCTGCTTCATACACTGACTCTTCAAGAAAAATTCGATCACGTCCATAAAGAACTATTTTGTTTTTCGTAACATAGTAACCTGTTTTTTATGATAGGATATTCACTATATGTATTTGTTTTAATCTATGCCTTCTTTTTACTTCTTGTGTATATTTTACTTAATTTTGGCGTAAAAAGTTCATAATTTTTTCTGTTATCCACGATAGAAATCAAGTCAAATAGAAATTACACAATATTACAAAATACGATAATAATAATAATAATAATAATAATAGAATAGAGGAAGAAAAATCGAAGATTACTTGTATATTATCAATGGATAAAAAAGAGCAGTTTCTTCGATTTTCTTTATAAAAATCAAGTAGTCGCTTACTATCAATTAGTTTTCTATGGATCGAAGTAATTAAAATATTGATATTTACAATGACTAACATAATATGCCTTTTAAAACATCGATGTTGATGTGATTCTTGTTTTCAAATTTACTAATTCTATCATGTTCCAAGAATTTGATTTATATTAGACTGTAAATACAGATAATTATAAGATTAGTATTAATGATTTTATTCATCGAAAATCATAGATCAAATAAAACAATCAAGTGTCTATTTAATATATTTTTATAAAACCATTCTAACTGACCACGAACAATAAATGAGAAGGATTGAGATATTTTCAAAAATGAATGCAATGAATAAATAAAAAAAGGTATATCTTACATCAATGAAAATATTTATTTAAAATCGAAATAAATTAAATGAACAATCGTCATCTCGAAAAGCAAAACTTATAAAATAAGAACACGATGAAAGTAAGCCTAATGGAAGAATTTAACACAAGAAAATAATTAATGATAGAAATCAGCGCATTCGGAATAGTATTGAAGGAATTATTTTAGAATGTGCATCGTACGTTTGATTATTAACTTATAATTTAGGACAAGTAATAAATATTTCACAAACCTTGATCAATCGACAAAGAAAGTAGAACATCAGGAATATCATTTTATTTGTATCTACTTATTCTAGGCTTTGTCTTTACCGCAAGTGCATTAACTGATTATTGAAAAAATATAAGGAGTTAAAGATTTTAATTTTCAGATTGTAACGCAATCTCTTCTGGAATCCTTATATCGACCAGTCCTTGAGAAATAAGTACTATCTAGCAAAAAAATCAACAACAGGATTTTGCCCTTTCGTTTCGTATAAAAGTGCATGTATAAATATTCCTTTTATTATAAAAAGTGATTAGTAACGAAAAGAAAAATTAATGATGTTGCTTTGTTTACATTTCAGATGGTGCATAGCCTTCAAATTTCTATTCTTTTCGAGTTAAATGAATTGCAATCAGTACAATATGTGTCCTATGAATAATGTCCTATATATGATTTAGAGGTTATCCCGAACAATGAAAGGTAGTAGAAAATGAAAAGTCCCAAAATTATGTTAAAAGAAGTTACTTAGATTAAATAGATTAAGAAAGAGTTCATCATGTTTTACACTAGATAAATCTCATTAATATAAGTACTGATAACTCTTATTATAGAAAGAATATTACTAAAATATAGCTACAATGCTTCGACAACGAATATAATTACATTATATAGCGTAAATTGTAAATACCTTACTGCACTTAACTGTTTTTGTTAGTTTCATCATGTAGAATTTGTGATATTTGCTTCATTATCTTAAATTATTACACATAAACATATCGTGCTAAACTTATTATTCATGAATATGTCCGATACTAATACCTGATAAGTATTCATTTTTAATCAATATTGCAGCAAACAAATAGTCTAAAATCGTTTACTAATGAAAAACGGTATAATCTCGTAAACAAGAGTCAGACAATCAAAATCAATAAATAAATTTCAGTTGCAGAATCATTATAATCGAGCACTCAAATTCTCGAACACGATACTAATCAGATTTCTTCAATACAATACGTAGAACACATTTCGCAATTGATTCTGTCAAAGAATAGAACTAGTTCGTTTAAGGACATCTGTTGCACTGTGTAGTAGAATTGTAATGCATTTTATAGAGCAATACATTTTGAATATACAAAAAAATTAAATTGAACCGAACTTTTGAAAATTTAAATTTTCAGACACAGTTGAAAAAGATTAGGTTAATAAATTATCCAGCGAAGCTATGTTATTGATTTTAAGATTTTAATTGAAAAGTAAATAGATAGAAGTTTAGCTTTCTAGTTTTGCTAGTATAAACAAACAAGATTTAGGAATACAAAATTGTCTCTTTGCTGTTATGATCCGCCAAAACAAATGTAGTCATACCATCGTAGACGTACGAATATTTTTATTAAAAAATTCCCATTTGTGTTGATGTTTCCATTGTTTTTTATTTTATATTCATCTTAGAGCAGAAGCATAAAGTAATCTCTTTCATTGTTGCGAGATATGTTTGAGTTATTGATAGCATGATGCAACTATTAAAAAAAGAAGTTATGAATCACTCTGACCTACGTTTTTAATGTTATTTATGACTTTGATAAATTGAAAAATAATTTATGGTTTGAGAATAGCTTTGTTTTTTATTTGATGTGGAGCGTATATCATATTTTCAAAATCAGTAAAGAAATCGTTGATATTTCAATTCATCCTTTGCCCACTTTCCTGAATGCTAGTGATATTATGAATGATGAAATAATACTTTTACAACATCGAAACAATTTGTAGATAAATATTCATTTTTTGATGACAGATGCAAAAGTCCGTTCGCTAAAAAACAATTGCTTACCTTCGACGCTATATCATAAAACTATCGTTTCAATCAAAATTCTTCTTGTTTTTACACTAGACTAGAAAGAATTTTGAAAATCCATAATTAAAATATTGTAATGATTGGCGTGAAGTGTTATTTTCATTCAAAGTATCTCTTTCCATAAATATCAGATCAATGTTGAACTATTTGATAGATTTATGTATTAAAAGAAAGGTTATACTCAAACGAATTAGACTACATAACGTTGTATATCAAATACAAATAAATAGATCAGACACTATGAATCGAACACAAGTGTTTACTATTCAAAAAAAGTATCAAGAACAACCACAAAACAAACACCTTCCACAAACTTCATTGACAGCGAATAATCTTAGAATCAATAACTCAGAAACAAAAAACGTAGAAGAAAACTTTTTACATCTTTGTTCAGGTCTACCAAAATTTCATTTGATACTAACACGTTCAGTATTTTCATAATGGAATGGAATGCTAATACTAACAAGAAGGAGGTAATCAATACCTGACTACAAGAAAACTAAAAGCATGACATTCAAATAAAACCATTGTCAATTCTTCATTACAATATGCGAAATTTCTTTTCGGACCAATGTGAATTGCTCGATATTGTTGTTCAATACAACCCAACTATAATCTCATTAAATGAATTAGGTACTAATGTCCCAGATAAAATTATTAAACAACGTCTATTCTCATATAATATCTTTAGCAACAAAGGTACTAACTCACATGGTGGTGTTGTATTAACTGTTGATAAAAAGTTAAATACTATACAATTAAAACTTGATCAATTGAATATTGTTGCTGTTCAAATTATCCTCAAAAATCAAATCTATGCAATTGTGTCGATCTATTCTCCACCAAATGAAACTTTATCCTTACAAATCATGTCATCATTAACCAATACTTTCAGAAATATCATCATTGTTGGTGATCTGAATGCAAAACACCCAAACTGCGACTGTACCACAATTAATCATAACGGAAAAATTCATGCTGAATGGCTCGATAAGAATGATATGTATGCAATTCAAAATCCAGGTGTGAAAACCTCCTTACGATCTGATACTACAATTGACCTACTTATTATTACACCGACCATATCTCTATCTCAATGTATAACACTTTCATATACTGGTAGCAATCATCTTCCAATATACATCGAATTAAATAGTATTATTTTACAGGCAAGCTTTTACGCTATTTCAACAAGTAACGTTCATCGAATTCCGATTCACTTGTTCCTAGACTAAAAGGCGATGAAATGTGATGCGCCCAGATATGCAAATGAGACTATCAAAGCGTAAATCTCTGAATGAAATCAAAAGATGTGTTACAAGAGAAAAGTCGAGTGTTTTTAAACTTCACAATTAGAAATCAGTTCAAAATAAAAGCAATGTAAAGTTCAGAAGTCAGAACTACAAAGCACAGAAATATAAATATCTAAAAGTTCTAAAAAAATAGAAATAATATTCATCGAATGCAGATTTACTTTACCGTAGGCTGCTTTTGTTGAATATATTTGAATGACCAAAGAACTGGTGATTTTGAAACAGGAAATTTAAAAAGAACGAATTACTAAGCTTTCGTAGCTCTATTTTTGGCACTGATGGCATTCACGGAAACCATGAATTTTTTCTACTGTTCATAGTTAGGATATCATTAAGTGACCAACTGAAAAGGAAATTAGATTTAAATACGGAGATGTTTGGTCTTTATGTTAGAGCAACTGAAAAACATTAATCAACATCAATTTTATATACAGTACAAAAGTTATTTTTCATCCAAAACATCATCTAGAGAGTAAAAGCAGCTCAAATCGGACCGAGGCGTAGCATTGTTTTGTAAAGAAATCTGGCAACCACTGCACACAACTACCAATCCAGCTGTCGTATCGATCCCACATCGTCCTAACAGTGCTCCATTCACGAAAATATCGAAACCAGAGCACGTTTCTACCATTCGCCGAACATAGCCTATTTTGAGTTAGAAAACGTTTAAAAATGATGATTTCCGATCAATAAAGATCTTTACTAGTAAATGGTGAAAAATTAATTTTCAAAACAGAATCAGATATCTCTTCACTTTGAGATCGAAGAAGATGCAGGTTCGGAAGCGACCTGATAGTTAATTGTGACTAATTTCGAGTCAGGATTTTATAGCCGAATACAGCGCAATTTCGGTCAGTTGCCATATTTGAATTATTATTTGCATCTGTTTTCGCCCTATGAGTCGAAAAGAAAGGAATGCTTAATAGAAAAAACAAAGAAAGTATGAGTTTTATCGATGTTGATCACGATCACGCTCTAATCTAGCATTTTGCTCCACATCAGCCTCGTGCGCTCATAAGTTGTGTCGGCGACTTTTTTTTGCACGCTTATCGGCTAGACGTTTCACTTCGTATTGGCTACGAGATATAAGATGCGTTTATTTCTCTTCGTCTGTTTTTTTTTACACTAAAATCGATCAAACGCCGTTTTTTGTATTGTCTGCCAACAACCAGGAGACTCTTTTAGTTCAGCAGTCTCAACGAGAGCACGGCGGGCACGAAAAGCTCGCATTCGGTTGATTGAAGTCGACAAGCGGATATCCATTTTCATATAATCGTGAATGTTACTGGAAGAATTAAGATCGGTGGGCGACGAGTTGGCACCGTTATTTCGCGATAATATTGTATTCAAGTAGACAAACTCAAAGAAAATTAAACTATTCATGATGAGATACTCGAGAGTGAAATAAAGTAAAAAGCGCAATGAAACACCAAAGCTGAAATCAGATCAAGGAAGACTGATATTTAAAAGACAGAAAACGTTTACGATAATTTTGAAAATTAACTAGAAAAAAAATGGTAAAAAAATAGAATCGACCATGTAGCTAGAAAATCCATCAGAAGACCGAATTTACCTCGAAGATTAGACCAAAATACACAAGCAACCTCTGCGACCGATCCAAGCACAGATGTCACCTATCTAAACATAGACGTCATCGATCCGAACACAGACGTCACCGATCTAAACATAGGCGTCACCGATCCAAATGCAGATGTCACCGATCTAAACATAGACGTCACCGATTCAAACGCAGACGTCATCGATCCAAACACAGAAAATTTAGGTTTCTAGACCCTATCCTTTCAGTCTAGGGAAAAACATTTTGTAGCATCTATAAAATTCTATTAACGTCTATCTGCTCATATATACATCAAGAAAATGTGAAAACAACTACAGTTGATCAATTTGAATGGTTTACTTTTTTTCAGCAACTACTACAATCAATCAAAGCTAGAGTAACAATTTTTCATACGACGAAACAACAACTACCAACGATGTCTCCCTCAATTCGAGCAATGCTCAAACACAAACAATACTTACAAAATAAATATCGGCATAGCAAACTGGAAGAAGATAGAGTACGACTAAGTTCGTGGAACGAATTAGCTCAACGTGAATTAAACTCTTTCCGGCAAAACAAATGGAGCATTTTCATAAGCCAAGTTGGTTTTCCTAACCTAAAACATTTCTGGCAAACCGTCAAATGCCTGAATAAAAAGAAATCAAGTAATTTTTCAGCTTTTACAGAAAATGATCATATATACAAGACACCTAATGAAATTATTAATACTTTACATGAACACTTCTCGAATAGATTTACTGCGCCCAAATTAAGTATCAATAACACAACGAATGTATTAGCTTCGAATCTATGGGATAAATTATCCAACTCAAACCAACATGACATTGAACTGGTGTGTGAAAACTCCGATCTTAAATTCACTATTCATGATATCAAGTTAATTATTAAAACTATGAGAAAAATCAAATTCTTCGTGTTTTGATGGTATATTGAATAAAATGATTAAACTCTTATCAGAGAGTTATTACTCACATATAATCTCAGTGTAGAATACATTGTTCAGAAATGCTTTTTGGGACACGAGTTGGAAACAAGAAGAACGATTTGCCTGAACAAAGTGGACAATTCTGCCCCATCTGTAAATCAACTTCGACCGATATCTCTTTTCCCATCTTTTAGCAAAATATATGAAAAACTTTTTTGTTAAAATTTTGACAAATGGATACAAGTGAACAACATTTTACCCTATCAGCAATCTGGTTCAAGACAATACCTATCCACTCTAACAAGAGTAAATCATATTATGGAACAACTAACTCAATCATTAAACCATAACTCATTCTCTGTGATTGTATATGTAGACTTCCTACAAGCATTCGACATGCTATGGCATCAAGGTTTTATTTTAAAACTGTATCAACTCAATTGTACGTATGCTTATTTATTTTGGATTAGTAATTATTTTAAAGATCGTACAATTACTCTTGACTATCAAGGACATGTTTCAGAACAAGTTAAAGTAAATCGTGGACCTCCACAAGGTTCGTGCTTCGAACCTAAAGCTTATATTGTAAACCATTTCGATTTACCATCTATTTTTGATTGTCCAAGTGAAGTTCATCTATATGTTGATGATTTAGCTATTTTATATTCTCCATCAATCTATCTCAAATATGCACCGCAAGCAAATGAAATTGAAACAAGAATTAGCACCGATCTTCTGAAGCTAGCTAACTATGTTGAATCAAATCATCAACCCGTTAATAACAAGAAAACAGAATTTGTCATTTATCACAGCAGTTCAAATTCGAATTATCTACCAAGGACAATCTATTCAGCGACAAAATTGTTTCACATATTTAGGCTTTCATGTTGACTCTAAATTGTCATTCAACATCATGATAAATGCTCAACTCGTCAAGCTAGGAAAGTCTTACTCAATATTGAAATATATACATCGCGCGTTTCCAACGTTTTTTGCGTTGAAAATAAAAAATTTTCAAACAACTCATTCTACAGACGTTGTCTCAGGCTCATATACTGTTCGTATAGAGTTTCTACAACTGATCTTCATCAAACATTAAAATTACCAACTTTAAAGGAAAAATTTCAAAAATGCCTATTGAAAAGAGTGAAAAATATACAACTATATGAGCAGGATCTCTTGGATTCTTTTATTCTATACAAAATATTAAGAATAATGTACAGCAACATTACTATGTCACACCAAATATAATTAGGCTTCTGATTGGAAGGTCAAACAAACGAATCGTATCTCTTACATAAACCGACAACTCCACCAACGTTGGCAAACTTTGTAACTTCGCATGGAAAATTTGAAAAACAACGTACACTACTGCTATTTTTACTGATTCTAATCGTTACTTCTTAACACCTACTTTCATTTCCTGTTTTCTTTTTNTCGACTCAGTTTTTAACGCTGATTCCGAATCTGATATTAGTTTTGAGCTAAACCGTAGCTTTCTGATGAAACATCGCCTGAAAAACGTCTCAAAATGCACAAAAACTGCATCCAGAAATCAAATTGCCTAGTTTCTCATGATAATTTTGGTGTTCAGACATTCTAGAATGACTCATATATCCCATGCACTTTTTGCAGTACACATAACTTTCGCATGAAATCCGAAGTTTCCACATTTATTTTTAGTACTCTCTGATGGATACAAGAAGCAACAGTAGCGTAATTATAAGTGAGAGAGAGAGAGAGAATGTAACAGTAAAAATTTCGCTGTTAAATTATCATGCCTCACAATTTTCGAATGTATATATATATATATATGCCATGGCTATTGCAGTACTGCATATTCCTTCCTGTGCCAATGATTTCACTACTGGAACAAGGAAGTTTTCACATGTATTCATTAATAAATAATATTATATTTTCCCTTTTATGGAGCTTGAGTATTATTAGCAATATAGTATCTGGTATAAAGTCAGAATACATGACATAAGAATTATTCATGCTATGAATATGCTTGAATCGCTGAAGATGTAGAGTAATCAAGAAGGAAAGGTGGACCCTGTATCTCGAATACGTGAATAGCGGTCAGATACCTAAAATACGATGGTAATTCGATTGACATTTTCTTTTTTTCATCAAAAATTGTCGGCCTGAAATAAATTGATAAAAAAGCTTGTTAGCGTAGCCCCTTTGTGGCTAAAATGTTGAACTTACATATATCCTTGGGCTTACTAAAATAATTCAAAATAGTTCAACTGAAAGATCTATCTTGACTTCCAAAACCTATAATTAGGTCATTGTCTATTTGCTTATGTCTGTAATGGAGTATTAATTGTTAGCTTGTATATTTAACAGTGGCAGCGACTAGTTTCTATGGTGTGTAATGGGCAAGCATTGTTTTTTTCGTGTCGTCTGTAATTAAAAAGGAAGAAATAGCAGCCTAATTAGTCAAGCTCCTAATTAGTACTATTTTAAACTCATTAATTTCTGTAATAGGAAGGGGGGTCGTAAAAATCTCGCTTTTAAACTTACACTCACCATTTTCTTCGAAAATATATGTGAGTTCCACAAAATGAAAAGCTTCGTGATATCGTTCTATGAGATAATCTACATAAGTCAACAATGAACTTTTCAATTGTAATCGATAGATTTGACTTTATTCATATCATTGAACAAAATACCATCAAAATACATGAAAAAATGGTCACTTTCCGATATTTTGTCAAGATATAAATTTTGATGAAAAAATTGTTAGGGGGGTTGAAGTTTTCACTGTAGAAAGATATCGTTGAGTAGGTACTTTCGATGGCGCATTACGCCAAGGATACACGTATAAAAATATTGCAACTTGAAAAAGTTATAGAATAGTTAAAGTGAAGTCTTATTAAAAAATGCACAAAAACAATCCTGTTTTCAAAGGAACTACACTGCAATTGGTTGAAAACTTTATAGAATACTTTTATCAATTCCAATAAAATCTATCCGATTTGAATCAAAGCTTGATCTACGGTAACTTTCATTAGAAACTGCGTCCGTTTCCGAAAAGAATTCTTCTATTG